TGGTAGGAAGACTTTGGCCTGCATGGAGTCGAGAACTGCCCTGATGAACTCTATTCGCTGGACAGGCAACAAGGTGGATTCCTTTATCAATAGGCCCAGGTTGCGGCAGGTGGAATGCACCAGATTGAGGCTCCTTTGCACTTACTCCTGATACCTGCCATTGATGAGCCATTTGTCGAGATATGGGAAGACCTGGACCCCTTGACATCTCAGGTAAGCAGCCACTGGCGCCATACACTTTGTGAACACCTTCAAGGACGATGATAGGCCAAAGGATAGCGCCGTGAATTGAAAATGGCATCCACGAACTATAAAATCAAGGAAATGTCTGTGACCCTGGAATGTGAAAATAAGTATCCTTCAAGTCGAGGGTGGCATACCAGTTTCCCAGATCCAGGGAGGGGATGATGGAGGCCAGGGAGACCATGCGAAACTTCAACTTTCTGAGAGACTTGCTGAAGCAACGCAGATCCAGAATGGGTATGAGAACCCCACTTTTGCTTTTGTGATTAAGAAATAGCAGGAATAGAACCCTTTTCTCTTCATGTCCTGAGGAATCTCCTGCACTGCCCCAAGATCCAGGAGGTTCTCGACTTCTTGGACAAAAAGTTGCTCTTGAGTAGGGTCCCTGAAGAGGAACAGAGAAGAGTGGTGGGTAGGAGGGAGGGGTGGCCAAAAATTGCAGGGGATAGTCCTGAGAAACTATATCCAGCACTCAGTGGTCCGAGGTGACCTGAAACCAGGCCGAATGGTAGGGATGAAGACAGTCAAGGAAAGAACAAGGTGGACCTGGGAATTGACTGGGGCATTGCTCTTGAGTGCACCTTCAAAATGAATGCTTCTGGCCCCTGGGATGCTTTGCTGGGCCGAGTGGGTGAGCAGGAGGAGGAAGGGCGGCGACAACTAAAGCTTATGTCTCTATTCCTTCTTCTTGCAGGCCCTTGATGAGGCTGCCAAGGCCTTGGCGGTGGGGGCAGCCAGAACTGCTTTTGAGCAGACTGCGGTGTATGCATGCCCAGCGAGCGAAGGGTGGCCTGAGTGTCCTTCAATCCATGCAGCCTTGTATCAGTCTGCACTGAAAAGAGACTGTTCCCATCAAATGGGAGGTTCTGGATAGAGGTCTGCAGCTCTTGTGACAGGGCAGCGGTCTGAAGCCAGGAGCTGCGCCTCATGACCATTGCCGATGTGAACACACTGGCCACCGAGCCTGATGTGTCACGTCATCTGGAGGGAGCATCTAGCCGCCACGGTGCCCTCCTCCACCAGGGTACCAAATTCCTGGGCCAAACCCTGAGGGAGGGACTCCTTGAACTTACAGAGGGAATCCCATAAGTTAAAACTGTACCTGGCCAAGAGGGCCTGATGGTTCATCACCCGGAATTGCAGGCTGACTGTTGAATAAATTTTTCTCCCCAAAAGGTCCAACCTTTTGGCCTCTTTATTTTTGGGAGTTGAACTAGTGTGGCCTTGCTTGTCCTTTTCATTGGCCGCAAAAACAATCGGCAAGCCCGGAGGTGGGTGGGTATAAAGGTACTTGAACCCTTTGGTCAAGATGAAGTACTTCTTTTCAGTCCTTTTGGAGGTGGGAGGGATGGACAGAGGGTCTTGGCAATTTTTAGGACCATCATATACTGGTAGTGTGACATGTGCTGGGGTAGAGGCCGAGAGGACATTGAACAAGGTATCCGCCTGCTCGGCCATCTCCTCCACCTCTAGGCCCAAGTTCTCGGCCACCCATTGAAGCAGGGCCTGGGGTTCCTTAAAATCGTCTGGGGAGCTGGAACTTGAGGGTCCCGTGATCACCTCATCCAGGAATGAGGACGATGATTGAACAGCTGTGGGAGGCTTAGGGGCATCAACCCCTGGGGAGAGGGGAATTTTGGGGAGGGCACTGTCTCCTCTACCTCCAACCTCATGAACCGAGTCCAGTGCCACCAGCTGTTGCTCCTAAGTGGTGGCAGATGAGTGGTGCGAGGGAGGCATCACCATGACCGGCACTTCCCACGTGCTCCAATAAGGACACTGCACTGGTCGCTGCCCGTGCCATCAAGGTGTCGACGTCGACGAAGCCTCGGGAGCCCAACTGCATCAGTGGAGTCTGGGTGAGCGGCTGAACTGCCTTCCGTGCTGGAGGAATCCCCATCTGGAGGCCATGTTGGGGCCAGCGATGCCTGAGTCTGCCTGCTAACTGTTGCCGCCGGAAACCGGTGCCCAGAGCAAGGGGATTGGTGCCGGTCCCAAGGAGACCGGTGCCAGTGGGTCTGAAGACATGATGGGGAGCGCTCCCCTGGAGCAGGCGACCAAGATTTGAGCTGAGAGGACGACCGGCGGGTGAATGAACGGTGCCAGTAGTATGGCGATGAGTGTATCCCTCTAGGTGATCCGTGTTGAGACAGCAGGGACCGCGATCGTGGTGCTGGTGACCAAGAGCAAGCCCCAGAGGATCTGGGCTGTGATTCCGGCAATCTGCGGCGTGGAGGTGGAGAGCAATATCTCACCTCGGGGGATCAGCGGAGCTTCACTGTCCCCTAAGGGGTCTTAGTGGTTAGCTTGCCCTCGTGGGGAGCTTTTGCCATTTCCTGAGGTTCGTGTTATCAGCAGTGCAGGCGGAGGCCTCTGCTCTCTCGGCACTGGGGGAGCTTGGGAAAGAATTGGTGCCGCCAGGGGTTGGGTCCTATTCTGCTCTTGGGAGTCGGTGGTGGACATTTTAAGGGGCTAAGGGCTCCGGGGAGGCACAGACATGTGGCTCTGGAGTGGCCAGGTGGCCCGAACTCCGTCCCTTCCCATGGCCCTTCTTTCCTAGTGCTGGGGAGCCGTACTTCTTTACATTCTTCTTGGACACTGGTGATGGGGAGCAGTGCTGGGCAGACCCTGGCGCCAGGGACGCACTGCGCCCTGAGGCCGAGGTACTTGGCAAGTCTTGGCGGGACGGCTCGGAAGCCAGACGAAGGGCAGACTCCATGAAGATAGCCCGTAAATGAATATCCTACTCCTTCTGAGTCCTGGGCTGAAAGTTCTTACAAATATGGCACTTGTCCTTTACATGTGATGCCCTCAAACACTTGAGGCAGCTGCTATGGAGGTCACTTACAGGCATAGGTCTGTTACAGTCCACGCAGGTCTTAAACCTGGGAGCTCGGGGCATGCCCCGCCTGGGGCAAAGTCCCCGCTTGGACTCTAACTTCTAACTATTAACTATACTTAACTACTTAACACTAACTACTATCAACAAACTATTTACAAGGCCCTAAGGCTCTAAGTCAGTAGAGACGCAACAGCTAGCCCTTCCTATGCAAGGAAAGGTGCTCCGACTAACCACCACGGGTGGTAAGAAGGAACTGAGAGGGCACAGGGCTTGCAGCGCGTGATATACCAACGCACGGGCATGACACTTAAAGGGGCGCCACTGCCGGCCCTACGAATACCGCTAAGGCAAAAATCTCTGACAACCGCACATGTGGGCGCACGCACACCTAGAATGGAATCAACATGAGCAACTCGAAGAAGAAAGCAGCCTCGTGTAACACAAATGAAGAACTTTAACAGGAAAGTGCTAATTCTTGTGCATTTGAAGGCAAGAGGCCATTGTGTATGATAATCAGAGATCAAAGACTCTAAGGGTATGTCCACACTACAAATAAAAATCTGTAGCTGGCCTGTGCCAGCTGACTCAGGTGCTGCTTCATTGCAGTGTAGACTTCTAGGTTCAGGCTGCAGCCTGAGCACTGGGACCCTGCCACTTCGCAGGGTCTAGAGCCCAGGCTCCAGCCATGGGTATTTAATTGCAGTGCATTCCTCTCTCTTCCACCCTCAAAGAGCCCACTTGGGTAGTGACCCTGCCAGCTTGTTTTCTGTGAGAAGAAAATATGGACACAAGGAAAAATTCATCTCTGGAATGTTTGGATTCTAACAGGGTAGAATAACTGAATGACAAGACAGAGATTCCCCAGATAATTCTGAGCAGCCCCAGAAGACTTTTGGAAAATGGAGATTACTACATCTCGGCTCCCATTTAGAATGATAAACTGTGACTCAACTGTACATCTATTCTTATCTGCTTTAACCTTTCGGTAACTCTCATTCTTTTTCTTAGCTAATAAACCCTTAGTTAGTTTACAAAAGAAATGGCTACCAGCGTTGTCTTTGAAGTGAGATCTAGGATGCAAATCAACCTGCGTGAGTGATTGGTCTCTTGAGACTGGGTGTAACTTGGAATATTTTGTGATTTTTGGTGTAAGTGACCATTTATCATCTAGTCTAGCTTGCCTGGGTGGCAAGATAGACTGGAGTGTCTAAGGGGATTGCCTGTGACTCTATTATAAGACTATTGTCGTACTTTGGGAGTTCACACTTGGTACTGGGTTGATGAAATTTATTTATAGAATGTACCACCACTTTGGGGTGTCTGCTCTGCTTTTGAAAGTCTGCCCTGAAGTAGGCACTCATGGTTGTGAGCCACTCCAGAAAGCATTTCAGGTGGCTTTGAATTAAGAATCTGATTTGAAAGGCCACAGATTCATTCAGTGTATTTTAAACAAAATCAGAGGCATAATACTGTACTTAGGAATGAACAACTCAATTCAAAGAATCCCTTCCATGTGCCAGAGCTACTGATTCCTTTTTATAGTATACCTTCTTGTGTGCATGCATGCTAAACTATCTTTAACACACCCCTACATCTGTAATACACATCCTAAAGAGACAAAGTGTTCAAAAGGATCTATATTAGTGTGAAATATTGAAGTAATGAATGAGAACAGCAGGATGAATACTACCAGATATTACCAAGACTGTGTTGTTTCTTCACACAAATAAACAACACACTCACACACACATCACAAGTGAGATTTTTAAAAGCACTCAGCATTGACCTGAATCTGCTCTCACTGGAGTTAATGGTAATGCTCCTGCTGACTTAAATGGGAACAAAGTTAAAACAATGCTGAGTGATTCTGAAATCCCACCATACTAATATACAAAGAAAATAACTCCAAACTTACCCTGTTCACTGGTAGTTTCACAATATGTGACCTATTACTAGAAATAACCCTGAAATAAAGAAAAATAAATAAATGTATGTATCAAATGGGATAAACAATACACTTGTATTCTAGGCCATTGACAGAGGCTAGCTGAAGGCCTATGAATCACATGCATTCTACTTAAGTGGTGCATAGGCATGGTGCTGGTCAAAGGCTTGATTCAAAGTCCACTAGAGTCAGTGGGAGTCTTTCCATTGGTTTCAGTGGACTTTGGATCAGATACTAAAAGCTCCCAGAAAAAAAATTAAATTCCAATAATTGTAAATGCCAGTATTAATTCTTAGGGACAGATAACACCAAATTTAAAATAATAAAATGATTATTCATTCAACATGGTACTGAAATAATTGTTATCTTAATGTAAGTCAGTTCTATACCACTGCAGAAGAGGATGCGCAAGCGGGTCCTGTTTATCCATCTGCTTCTTTATTTCCAAATATGGCGCCTATAAAACAGTAATTATGCTCTTTACTGCTGGTTAAAATTTTGTATATATTACATTACACATAACTCCATCTATAATAAATGAATACATTGGATTCATCATCACAGATTTAGTGACATTTAGCCTTGAAGAGTTATAACTGCCTTGACAACAACAAGAATTACTACAGCAATTATCCGCCCTTAGGTAGAATTTATAAGCTTACGCTTAGCTTCAGAACAAGTATATTGGAGCTAAGACTGTTGGTCACAGCAAGAACAGCAGAGGCCATCTAGTAGTGTTTGGCTCTGACATTAGGAAACTGGACTGGACCTTCAGTAAAACAAAGCCTCTCTAAAGTACTCAGTGGTAATTCACTCATAGCTATTTTAACTGCTTCATGGTATTAAATAGGTAAAATCAAGACCAGATAATGTTCAAACTGAAAACTCCCACTGACTATATTAGGATCATGAAGTAGCCCTTTAAATCTACTCAGCCCAGCAATAATTATACTTCATCCTAGTATTAAAATGGCAACTTGATAATACAATGTGCAATATAGTAGCTTAATTCTTATACTAAAATTATGATAGTATTTTGTAAACACATCATTTTTCATTCCAGAATCTAAAAGTATTGTACAAACTTAGATTAACTGAGCTTTATAACACCTTGGTGAGGTTACATCTATTTAACAGCATGGTAACACTGTGTTGCTGCATTACTAGTAATCAGTTAACATCAATGGGACCACTTGTGAAGTAAAGTACTACTTAACAAAGGTAGTGTACAAAGGTATCAAAATCAGGCCTGAAGTGCGTATTCAGGAGCTGCATGATCTAAGTCACAGGAACCCTGGCTCCTAATCCCTCTCAATTTCACTTAAATGAACAAAGTTCTAGTTATAATAGAAATAAAGCCATCACCATAGTACAGTGTCACAAAATCAATGACCCTTGCTTTGAAAAATCAAAGACTTGGCTTGGCCTTGATATTTCCTGAAATGCATGAAGCAGCAGTTGGCCATTATTCTGTTACAATGTTCTATTCCACAGATATTATCTCTTATTTAAGCTTCCAGTGACCAGAATTCTGTTTCATCAGTTTTATTTTGTCACTGTCTAGATACTGCAGGTTGTTATTTTTAACACATATTTTTATATTGTTGCAGCTCGGCAGCAAAAATAAAAATACAATGCCATGCACCACCCTGATCCCCCAAAAGAGCAACAAATAAAAACAGGTACATCCTTCAATAAATTACAATTAAGATACTAAAAGACTTATACTTACCTGTGTCATTTCTCTAATAGAAGTAATACTATCCAATGCTTTCATGACTCGATCATAATTCTTCTTCTGATGTAATGTAAAATAAATGAATACATTAATTTTTTGGGGGGGGGCTCTTTTATATATAAACATACTAATTCAGTGCTCTGAGTTCATATACTTTTGGTATAAAACAACAATTAAGACCAATGACCGACAACCAAGCCTTCTCATATCTCTACATCCAATATTCTTCTTCCATCCTACACATCAACTCATCCACAACCCAGGAAAAGTCTGGAAGACAAACTGACACCAGTAACTTTTGTTTAAATTCACTAGAATCCACTGTAAACAAGGAAATCCACTGTGTAAATAAGACCAATTTATCAACAAATGTTAATAACTATATATGGGTCTGACAGTTATTTAAGTATCAGGTTCTGTTGCTGTTCAACAGAACATGGCAGCAGATTGAGTGGAGTGAAGGGCCAGCAATGAATCAGTTAAAAACCCTAGGAAATTCGAGTGTGCCACTGTTTGGCCTTTGTACAAAAAAGGTGAAATTTACCCTTATGCAGAGGGTCCATAGTTCTCACTTAAGCTGTTGAAATAGGGCCTCAGTGGGATTTAAATGCTGTGCTGGTTGCATTGGTCTTGTGCAAGCCCTCCGATTGCAAAAAGTGAATTTCATTGAAAATGAATAGAAAGGTCTACCGTTGTATAGTAGGCAATATTCTTTACCTTGTTAGGTTTCAGAGTGGTAGCCATGTTAGTCTGTATCAGCAAAAACAACGAGGAGTCCTTGTGGCACCTTAGAGAATAACAAATTTATTTGGGAGCCCATGAAAGCGTATGCCCAAATAAATTTGTAGTCTCTAAGGTGCCACAAGGACTCCTCGTTGTTTTTATTTTGTTAGTTATTGCTTGGGAACTCTCTGAAGATGAAAAGTACTACACACGTTTCAAATATAATCATTATTTAAAAAAATTATATTTTAAGAATATAATCATTTTACAAACAAGAACTTTGGAAATGTAAAATAAAAATAAGCAGATTTAGAGCCACATGATTAAATTTTCCCAAAGGTGAACTTTGCTTTGATGTGTATAATATGCTCCCAGATAAACAAATTTTGCATCCACAATTTGCACCCACGAACAGGAAGACTGAAAGTTTACCTCTAGACAGCTTCAAAATGACATTTTATATTGTCTAAAATATTTCATAGGTTCCATGGCTACACTGTTGTACATATACTGTATTTTAAATCTATATCTGTCAGTGTGAAGACACATTATCCTGTGGAATTGGACCTGGCTTTGAAATCTAAAACATGACTAAAAGCAAACATTACCTGTTGAAGAGACAACTACTTACCCTTGGATTAAAGGCCAGCATCTGAGGGTCATTAGGATCAACTACAGAAGGATATGGCTCAAAAATGACAACTTTCCGGGGTGATTCTAGTGCCGATCGACACATGGACACTAATAAATCTACCACCTAGAAATAAAGAAAATCATACATAAAGAAATGTCTCTTTCACAGAACACTATTTATTTTGAGATTCAATAATCTATTCTTCTCCCCAGAATTATCTTCTGTCTTCCTGCATCATAGAATTTTCTTCTTTGATGTTGTGTCTTTAATTATTATACCAATGATTGAATTCCAATGCTTGAATATTTGTTGAAAACCATAAGTCATAGGAGTGGTAATTCCGCATTTTGTAATAACAGCTGCCTGTGAGTGATTTCATATTCATATTTTAGCCTGCATCTTTTGAAATTCGACTTAACCCATTTTTGAAAATCTTTGTGGAACACAATGCCTCAGATTCACTAGCTTTATTCACTGAATAGCTTGTACAATATGGCTGTGGATATACAGTAGCATCTGATTTTACAAGTTATACAGTTGCATGGCAGTGTAGCCCAAGTCACAACTGTACCCTAAACTTGAAATAATAGATTGCATTTTGTTCAGGTATAAAATATTTTTCTACATGTTAGATGAGCTATCTGAATCATTGTCTCCAGATCCCTAATGGGTTTAATGATATTTCTCATCTCAAAAATATGCATTTTACTGTATGTTTGAGGATCTTCTATAATGCACAATTTGGCCTACAGTGGTTTTGAGGCATTTTGTGAGTAAGCGGAGTCCAAGGACTAAATAAATATTATGTTGCACCAATTTTACTTGAGAAGAAACTTAGGTTTAGTTGACAAATGTCTGTCATACGGTGGAGGAATAAGCGGTACGTCAAGAAAATTGATAAGCCATTTCATCTACTGACAGAAACCCATCTGTTGTATACAGTGCATTTATATTATACACAAGCAGGAAAGAACATTTTAATTAAAAACTTTGTGTTTCTAAAGTATAAACACTGCTGAAATTAAAGCACTAAAGGCTTTAATTACAGCCCACTGAAATTTTTCCATTCACTTTAATAAGCTTTTGATCAGGCCCTAAGGTAAAATCCTATAAAAACTCCCAAAATGGGACAAAGGTTTGGTCCTAAACATACTGTAATGCAGAGTATATTGATTTAGCATGGAACAAATCCTAATTCCTCTTGTACATATGTGGAGTCCCCAGATGCAGAAAAACTAGGAGGGAGGAAGAAAGCTCTACAGGGGGTATGCATACCTGTGCACAATGCAGCAGATAACAGCTAACAATCTTGCTCAAGGATGAAGCAAGAATGGGATGAGGGAGGGGCGCAAAGACAGGGTTGGTGGATCTGCACTACATAGATCCACAGTTAGATCTATGTAGAACAGAGTTGTAAAAACCATGGCAAGTACTGCCTTTTAGATTTGCAATAGTGGAACAGTTCATGGCCCAGGCTGAGAGTTTCTTCGTTCTTGCCTCTGAAGAGATTACAGCATAGCTTGGAATGTTTGTGCTGTGCACTGATTTCCTGGAATTTGCCCCAGGTTACTGCATGTACATGTACTTGTGCATGTAACATTTTTAACAGTTTTTAACATTTTTAAATAAAAACTGCATCAGAAATTTCATAATTTGAAAATAAGGTTAAGGATGAGATGAGTTTTGTTTAAGAAGCGCTTGTAATTCCTCCGATCATTCCAGATGGACTGTATCTTGACTCATCATTCAAGCTGTTCTAAAAGTTATCATATCCGATCACTCCAGGGAAATAAAAATGAGTTCCCTTTAGAAAAGCAGAATGAAAGTGAGAATCATCAGGAAAGACAGAAGGAATTGTACACTAGTGAGTCACACTGTTTTCCCTTCTCCTCCTCTGCTATCTTGGCATGAATGAACAATCTTCTTCTGATAAAAACTATTCTGGCAATTGAAATAACTGGATACTTCAAATGCCCTGAACAAGAAGGCTACTTTAGCAATTCCCTCCCCCAGGTTTATAATGAAAAGTTTAAAATCCACAGTAAATATTAAGATGTTCGATTTTCTTCCCAGTTTACAAAACCTACAGACATGGAGAACTTTTCAAAATTAGATATTTGTGCTGATTCTCAAAGTAGTCTAAGGGTATGTCTACACTTCGAGCTGGCAGTGTGATTCCCAGTGTGAGGAGACATACTTGTGCTAGCTCTCACTGAGCTAGGGCACTAAAAATCGAGTGCAGCTATGGTAGCGTAAGTACGCACCTAGAGTCTCTGATGAGCATGAACTCTGGACAACTAGCTCCTCCCATACTGTCACAGCTACATTCTATTTCATAGAATCATAGAATATCAGGGTTGGAAAGGACCTCAGGAGGTCATCTAGTCCAACCCCCTGCTCAAACCGGGACCAATCCCCAACTAAATCATCCCAGCCAGGGCTTTGTCAAGCCTGACCTTGAAAACCTCAAAGGAAGGAGATTCCACTACCTCCCTAGGTAACGCATTCCAGTGTTTCACCACCCTCCTAGTGAAAAAGTTTTTCCTAATATCCAACCTAAATCTCCCCCACTGCAACTTGAGACCATTACTCCTCGTTCTGTCATCAGCTACCACTGAGAACAGTCTAGATCCATCCTCTTTGGAACTCCCTTTCAGGTAGTTGAAAGCAGCTATCAAATCCCCCCTCATTCTTCTCTTCCGCAGACTGAACAATCCCAGTTCCCTCAGCCTCTCCTCATAAGTCATGTGTTCCAGTCCCCTAATAATTTTTGTTGCCCTCCGCTGGACTCTTTCCTATTTTTCCACATCCTTCTTGTGGGGGGGGGGGCCCAAAACTGGACATAGTACTCCAGATGAGGCCTCACCATTAGCAAGCTAGTGTGAATGTGTCTCCTCGACCCCCAGCTCAATGTGTAGACATATCCTAAGAGAGTTAGGTGCCAAACTCCTAATGAAATTCTAATCTATCTCTCTGGCACCAAACCTCAGAAATCCTGCTTTACTCTACTTTTTGCATAAGCCTGGATTTTAGTGGATATGAAAATACTTGATTTGTTATTTTATTTTAGCATATCTGCTCTGGGGCCAATCTTGCTTGCAATTAAGTCAATGGCAAAACTCCCACTGGGAGCAGGATCAGACCCTAAATCTTTAAATGCAGTATCCCAAATTCTCCAGTGCAGTGTAGTGCTGCTGCTTTATGCCACACAGATGGTGAATTTGGGTTCTAAAGTTGGCCTAGTTACCCAAGAATGGATCACCCCAGTATAGCAATACCTTCTAGATGTGTAGAGACAGAGTCATGACTCCTATACCGCTCCCCACCCTGCTCCTGGCATATTGGCATGGCATGGGGAAAGAGGACATGCCTTGAACTTACTAACCACCCACTGATTCTTTCTGGGACCATTGGCAGTTGGTATAATTCAGAGCATCTTGAAGTCTGCTCTAAATTAAACAGGAAACCAGGCCAGTACAAAGCATGCTCAGGACTTGGGGAGCTGCCATTACACTCTTTCCCTCAAGAGATGTGCTGCGTGTGCTCTTTGGCCATAGCCAAGGAGCAGGTAATTGTTTCTGATGACTGTTTGGTACAGCACCTGATTTTAAAAAAGGAGCCAGGGAGAGTCTTGGGAATTGCAACCTAGTGAGGGTCACCTTAGGGTATTAATTGAAAGGGTAACAGAAGGAAGAGGACAAGAACTTCAAAATCAGACACCTAAATCTAGGCTTCAAAGTGAAATGGCCTTATTTTCAAAAGTGCTGAACACTCAGAAGCACCAATTAAAGTTAATTGAAGCCAGTGGGTCCTCATTTTTTTGAAAATCAGGCTGCTACACATCTGTTTTTGGAAATCATGGGAAGAATATAGCAACCAGTGTGTAATACTTCACTCAGCCCCCAGGGGCTTTGTAACGGATATTGCCCTAACTTATTAAAGTTCTTAAACAATTTTAATGAAATATGATAAAAAGACAACTTGGAAGATACAATTTAATTGGATTTTCTGAAGAAAAATATTGAAGAAAATAAATAACTACAGGGTAAGGAGCATATCCTGCCAGTACTTACAAACAAATTTAGAGTAAAAAAACAAAGGTATGTTAAAAGCGCTGCTCCTCTGAATGAAGAGAAGAAAACAGTATAGTAACAATGGATCAGTACTGTGCCCACTGTTATTTAATAATCAAAACAAAAGATGTAAAATGGACACCTGTATCCCAACACCATGAAAAGAAGAGGGCTTAATATTTGCCTGAGAGTAACAATTGCTCTTTAAGATAAAATAGGAAGTATCTCCAAGAAGATAAATGGACAGTCCAGTTCATTTCACCTAACCAGGTGACCAAATTCAACTCAGCAGAAGAAAGAACGCAATTTTCAAAAGCACTTAGCATTGGCCTAACTCTGCCACCATTGAAATCAATGGTAAACGTCCCATAGGCTTCAACAGGAGCAGAATTTGGGGACTACCTAATGAACACCTTTAAAATATCCCGCCCATACAGTAAAGTATGTAATCACATCTCTGCTGGTCTCTACACACTGTGAAGGAGTACATAAGAGTTAGCAAAGAGCAGAGATATGAAAAAAGTTAGTAAAAATGGATTAATAGAAATTATTGGATGTGCTATACAAAATTTGACACATGATTAACATTATATAGCTGTACCTGAGCCCCAGTGGCAATTTCATCTGCAGCTTCATTCATTACTCCTAGAGTTTGGAAAGCAAAAACACACAGCTCCCGTTCACATACTGTGGGCTAAGGAGGAAACAAAAACAACAAAATGTTTGTGTTTTTATTCCAGTTTGTAAGTATTAATTTTTCCATGTACCACCTAAAATATAAATGTAAACCATGCATCTGAATTCCCATTTAATGCTATTCATATTCCTGGACAAAAAACTATATTAAAATAAAATGTTGAGAGCACATATCAGTAACTGAGAGGAAATTGCATTAGAGGGATGTTGTAATTATCCCAAAACCAAGTGTTATAAACTCAGGGTATTCACAGTACTGGTTAAACTTAAAAGAAATCTATACATCTTATAGTATGAAAATTCACAGTGAGAGCACCCAAATAACCTTAACTCTGCTCTATCAGACTCTTAAAAACTTCCCATATAATTAAAACCCACTGAAATCTTCTGCACAGGCTACATTGCATACTTTTCCCCTGCCTGGATTAATAGTAATTCTTCACTTTTATTCTTCAGAACTGAAAATTTCTCCATCAGTGTCTGTGCTATTCTGTTACTGAGATCATTTGGACAAATGAAAAGGTCTGACAGTGGGTGCTAAATTTCTTAAACACACCTACCTTAACTTTAATTCCTAAACTAAAGATTTACTTGTAAATCTTCAGAAAATTCATTCTGTATTCATAGAGTAACTGCTGTAAGTGCATCCAATGAAGTGAGCTGTAGCTCACGAAAGCTTATGCCCAAATAAATTTGTTAGTCTCTAAGGTGCCACAAGTACTCCTTTTCTTTTTGCTGTAAGTGTGAAGAAGATAATGCTGCATTTTTCATATATAATGAAGAGGTTCAATCCCTGCTTTAAGTGCAAAATTCAATTCATCCTTAACTATGGAGCTATGCCTGACACCTCCATCTTTTATGAAACCATTCATTCATAATGGTTTAATTACAGTTATTTAACAAAACAGAAACAAATGTAACATATCAAAAGAATTATAGGTCTTGTCCATATGGCGATTTAATGCATGGCAAGCTGGGGTATGAATCTCCAACGCTCTAGCCTATGGCTCACTTAGTGACCATGTGGATTCTGCTGCCACATAGTGAAAGTTCTGTAGTGTGCTTTGATCTGCTGTTGTTTCAAACTATGGAACTTTTAGTACACGGAAGCAGCATCCACATGGAGACTTAATGAGCAGCAGGCAAGAGCGCTGTAGAGTTACACCCCGGCTTACAAAATAAGCCCTGTATGCAGATTCACATAAAGCAAAAAGGATAGAAACAAAAAAAAATCTACATAATAAAGTTTTAATTAAAAGAGAATAGGCTCTCTAGGTTTTCCAATAGGATACATTTTATTAGCAAACCCTTGCTCATTACTAAAAGATTATGACTAGGTTCACATATTTAAGGCCAAAGTTGTCTATAATCTAAATATTCAAGAATTAATGAACAGTAAGTTGAGGCAAATAAGCATATGAAAACAGGTTAGATCCCTTCTTGGAGTTTATTGCAATAAATAAAAAATTTCTACTTCAACACAGAAATGGTCTAACATGTACTTTTCAGTTACTGATTGGTGAGTACGCTATATTTAATAATTACTTATGAAACTTAAAATTATGTCAAACAGGAAGCTATTACGCCAGGTACCACTGAAAATCTACCACTGAAACACTATGAGTCTTTCACTGCCATGATAATAAAGGAAGAATATCTCACTCAAGTTCAGACACTCATGCCAATGTCTATAGACAGCATTCATCAGAAATGAAAAATGTACCAAATGCTGCATGAAACAAACACAAAATTTAGCTGGATTTTGTTTCAAGAAATTACTTAATCAGTAATAAGCATATGCTGTAATTCTGCTCACTGTTTCACAGCCTTTAAAATATGCACTAGTTTAGTTTCAAAGATTTTTGATTTACACAACCACTTGAAATAAGCACTGAAACATTGTCATCACAGTTGCTTTAGAAGAGCTATCATCTTTCAGGTCTAATAGCGTGTCATATATTTGATTTATTTTATCTGCCATGTTACATTGCATTAGGTAGCAGACTAAGCCTAACATGACCCAATTCACTGTGCCACTGCACACTGGACAAAAGGTATTTATTATTGGCATTATTCCTATCCTTACACATTTCGAAAGGTGATTTCGCTATTCACATTAGTGGGAAAAGTATAAAAGAATTCCTATCTTGACTGTTATGAATAACCAAAATTGTTCTCTGATTCAATTTCATCACCCAGTAAGGCACGGACAAAATTCAGCTATGCTTGCCATAAAGCAAAAGAATTCATAGTGTTTTGAATTTGCTTTGTAATCTGCCCACCTTCAGCATGTAATAAGTTATCATGAAAGTTAAAAGTGACATACAAAGGGAGAAAAAATTGGGTGTGTGTCTTTTTTTCTTCTTTTTTAAAGACACTGTGATGACTAGAGGGCCTGTGTAAATGATATCATGAGAAGCAGGAGAGTAAAAATTGAGCTGATAAGAGGTGACGGGATTTTAAGTCAGGCTGTATAAAATTCTTTGTATTTTATTTGTTTTTGCTAACTCCTATTTAACTTCAATGCCTAATGAACATTTTTGAATGAAAGAAGTCTATGTTAAAGATTCCATACCTTTCAATTAAGGTTTTAAAGTTTTAAGAGCTCACAATAAACATATTTTTTACCTCCCTCTGGGCTTCCAACAAAGCAAATAAGACCAGACTTTACATTCCTGATATTCTTAAATTAAAAGATAAGCAGGAAACACCCCTCCCGCAAAAGCAAACAAACAAAGATCTGCCAGTCTTCTTTATAAATCGTAAAGAAGTAAAACACAGCACGAGTCCAATTTTTCTTAAGATCCTTTACAGATCAACTTTAACTAAGCAATGGTCCTGGGAGAAGTAATTGCTTTAAGATCGGTTCTTTTATTTCTTGTTACATAAAAATGATATTTTTTTGACACTCATCAATAGGCCAGTCTATATATTCCTTCCTCGCTTGATGTTACTGCAGTGAGAAACTAATAAAAGTAAGACTAGTAATAAATGAAGAAGCAATGATAAAGGCTTAGTGTTATAAATTCTTTGATAAGGCATTTATATGGAACATATAAGGGTGAGTTCTCTGTACTTATCTGTGCTGACTCTTCAGAGGAAGAGTATAATAGCATCCAGTCAGAAAACTGAGACTGAGTGGGACAAGGTAAGCTGCTGCAGCCTCTAGAGGGTAAGTGTCTTGGCTGGTCATATCAAGATACCAGGCAGAGTGTAAAAAGAAGGGGAGTCAAGATTTTCTATATCCTTTTGTGGATGATTAAAGCCAGGGAGGCCTTTGGGGAATTCCTGCCCAGTGGTTTTTCAGTTGATTTTCTTTCTGGTTTTGTGACTGGTGGATAATAAGCCCTGAGGAAAGAAAAGCCTTAAAAGCACTGAAACTTCAAGCTTTATTTCCATTCCCACCCACTAGTTTACACTGAGCTAGAAACATACTTAAAATAAAAAATGAAAGGTGATATTATTGAGTAGTAGGCTGATTCCAGGAACCAGGGCTTTAAGAAAATTGCAAGACTTGTGAGAAAATCATGAGAACATTTAGCAATATTGTGAGCTGCTTACAAAAATTCAACAATGGTAAGGTGGCTGATCTGTCCTGTGACCACTGCTTTTTATGCTGACCAGTCTCCTTGAACTCTCATTGTCTGTTTGTTGTATCCACCTATTGTCTCTTGTCCTATATTTGGATTGTAAGTGTCTCCAGGCAGGAACTGTCTTTTCATTCTGTTTTTGTATAGTACCTGGCACAATGTGGTCCTGGTCCATGATTGGAGTTTTTAGGTGCTACCACAATATAAATAAATAAGTAAATAAATACATAAAATAAATAATTAACTTTAAATTGATGCACCCCATTTTGTGGATACTTTTATTTTGGTTTACGAACACTTAATATTGATTTAGCTTACATCCATTTCTAAACTGATTTAGTTAAATCAGTACAACTTTCTTGTCTAGACCAGTGGTTCTCAAACGTATTTGGTTGTTTACTTTTCCACTGCTGCTAGTGGTGGCTCTCTGGCCACCCAGCTCTGAATGTGCACAGTAAGTTTTTTTTCCCTCAAGTTTTTCATGCCCCCAACCCTGCCTGCCCTCCCAAGCAGGGCACAAGCCCCAGTTTGAGAACCTCTGGCCTAGACAAGATGATGTGGAGATGTGGTCTCTTGGACAGTCAGGACTTAAGCCATACAGGGTTTTACATCACCTTGAATTGCATCCAGAAATGAACTGGAAGGAATCCACTGAAGTCGACGGAGTATATATGCTAACATTCACCATTGAGAATGTGTGCAATTTCTTTCTGCATTGTCTGAAGAACAGTATTGTCACTCTCTCTAAGCAAAAACAGCTTATGACAGAACAATCAACAGTCTGAAAGATATTTTATTTTTAATCAGGATGCATAAAATAAATGGAAGGCCATTTAGATGACCGTCACAAAACGGTTGGCTGAGTGAAGAACATCAGTGCTGAAAGACCATTCAGAGGGATAATTATTCCAGTGGGAAAATGCCAGAGAAAAGTAAGAGCCCTGGTTTCTAACTGGCTGAGATTGCAAGTCTCAAGGAACAGAATGCAAAAATGGTATGATTTTATAGCTCTGTAGGGTTATCTGAGTTTTCTTTTCAGCTATCGCCTCTCTCCATACTCAAAAGCGCTTTTGAGAGTGTCACAGGTGCTATGAACAAGAAAGAAAACTCTATGATTATTCTCAAAAAGAAAAGGAGTACTTGTGGCACCTTAGAGACTAACCAATTTATTTGAGCATAAGCTTCCGTGAGCTACAGCTCACTTCATCGGATGCATGAAGTGAGCTGTAGCTCACGATAGCTTATGCTCAAATAAATTGGTTAGTCTCTAAGGTGCCACAAGTACTCCTTTTCTTTTTGCGAATACAGACTAACACGGCTGTTACTCTGAAACCTATGATTATTCTATCTGCTATAAGACAAGTGGCATTGCCTCAAATGATGGCTGTGAATAGCAGGTAGGTCTTCC